GGAAAGAATCATCAGGAAAAGCATAATGGCACATCTAGAAAATAGAAGCTTATTATCAAGAACACAGCATGGCTTCCGAGGGAACTTCTCATGTCTGTCAAATCTCACTGCAAGAGAAAGCTGGGTCAAATCCAGGGACAACAGAAGACCCGTTGACGTCGTCTTTATAGACTTCAGCAAAGCCTTTGATAAAGTACCTCACGAAAGACTACTCATGAAGTTGGAAGGTTTTGGTATCAAACGCAGATTACTAAAGTGGCTCAGGGAATTCCTCATAGATAGTAGGCAGAGGGTTAGGATCAACTCGAAACTCTCCTCTTGGACAGCAGTACACAGCGGAGTGCCAAAAGGCACGGTGCTCGGACCTCTCCTATTTATTTTGTATATAATAATAATAATGTATTTCATATAAATTTACAAATTTACATGAAAATGCATGCCATTTTTACAGGCACGATCAAGTATGATATAATATCAAATCGTAGATTGTCTACAAGTTAATCGTATTTCAACTGTTAAATATTCGATACATATAATACACTCATTTTCTGAATTAGGCCGTATAGTTATTGAATTGTACAGTTGTCCTCCAGGTTGAGCGGGAAAATCGACTTCGTTCCGTTTTCATCCCGTGGTTGTAGGCATACGATAACCAACCGATATTGAGGTAAGTACACCTTTTACAAGGGATTGGAATCTGTTTTAGAAAAAATTAAAGTGCTGAGGTGAATCATTAAATTGTAATGAAATAGGTAAGTGCAAGTATCATTAATAAATGCATTAATAAAGGAAACACCCTAGGGTAACAACATTCATTTGCAATGTATAATGCTACAGATATATCACAAACTATCATGATATCCACTTTTGGTTTTAATACAATTATCCTCATGCCAGTTGTTTTTATTTTATACCTTTTTGTGCATTTAGTGCACAACCGTACCCTTCAGAGAGTAGGAGTATAATAAGTAATGAAGAGCTATAAGATGTTAAGTTTAATGGAGTAAAATGAGGATCAAGTAAAGACGTTGTCAGAAAATAAATGAGATAAGACATTGTGGAGTGGTATGAAAAGATCTGACGATAGACAGCAAGTTAATTTATAAGATGCCCCATAAATCTGAGCAGATCCCACATGGTCGCATCTCAACAATAGGCTGGGTGAATGGTATATATTTAAAGGTAGAAGCATGATCTGTCAAGGCGTTCATTGTTATCTTTTTCAAGATAAAGATTTAAGCCCTCATAAAAACCAGAAATATCTCGAGCCTTCAAATTTTTTAATGCTGTTCCTGCAGAATGGGGCGATTCACCTTAGTGTCCACCACCATATCTACTGATATCATGAGTTATCTCTGCTCACCGACTCCCCTATGGTCCTATACGCAGATGAATTAAAAATTTGGAGAGAGCTGAAGGGAAACAGTGACACGTCCACGTTGCAAGAGGACCTCAACTAATTGTCAGAGTGGTCCATAGAATGGATGCTCCCGATCAATGTGACAAAATGTGCAACCGTGCGCATTGAACAAGTAAGTACCAGCTCCTACGAACTAGAGGGAATGACACTTCCATCAATTCAGACTCATTTGGACTTAGGTGTCATAGTTAGCCACGACTTAAAAACTACAGCACACTGTCGCACGGTGGCTGCACGTATTTTCAGGCCCTTAAGGGCAATTCGCAGAGCCTTTACTAGAATCACCAGAAATATGTTTTCCTCCTTGTATACATCTCTGGTGAGGTCAAGACTAGAAAACTGTATCCAGGCAGCCAGTCCTTGGCTTAAAGCGGACTGACACATTCTAGAAAGAGTTCAAAGGAAGGCAACACGTGTGGTTCACGGCATGACTAATTTATCATACGAGGAAAAACTAGACAGTTTAAATCTCTTCTTCCTGTCATACCGTAGGTAGAGAGGAGATTTAATCACTGTTTAAAATTTTAAATAATGACTATGGACCTGACCTATTTTCTCTTTTCCTTCCCACCAGGTCGGAACACCTTAGAGGACATAGCAGGAGAGTTCAAAAGCAAGGAAGAAATCATATTGCTGTTGAGTACTGGTTCTGACACCGAGTCATAAACTCTTGGAACCGACTCCCACCACTGACCTTGTACGTGACGGTTAATTGCAGTCTTAACGGCTGGACTTATATATCACGTTCTGTCAAAATTTCGCTTGGAAATGTTTTGTCAATAATTTTTAGTAAAATTGTTTTATATGTTTTCTGTATTGATGAAAATTCCCATTTCCTGGCTACTTATGTTGGTGTCGGCGTCATGTGATCTGACTGCGACACACTGTTAGCATATTTGTTGCAATGATTAGTGTTTCAGGCAGGCCGCGTCAAAATAACGCTATAATCAGGAAGATAAGATAGTTGTAGAGAAATGTCATCTACTCAAATAGTCTACTTTATTTAGAAGTTGCACCTTTCGGCATAGTGTCATTCAATGACGACTTCACGTCTCAGGATATCAATGCAGCCTATTTTTGTGTGAAGAGCAGTACTTTTTGAAAAAAGAATTTTGTCAGTACTTGTAAATCACCTGTAAACGCTAACAGAATCGTCTTTGGGAACCTAAGTTATCATGTAGATGTGCTTTTTGCTCTCTGTGGTTGGACAGGAATTATGGTAAATTGAAAGGTTATCTCTAAGTGGATTTCATATATTTTTGTAGTGATTGGTGCATTGTACTATGGATGATGGGAATTCAGTGCACAAAAATATCTCAACTGTATTAATATTGTACCACTGTCTATTTAGCTGAATGGTAGGCTAATAAACGTAGGTGGTTGTCATGATTATTGCAAGTGCAGTGCAGTGGAGAAGGCAATTACTCGTTTAAGTTTCCTTGCTGCATTAATTCATTGCACCGTATGATTATACACATGAATTGTGGTGATTATGAGAACTTAATCTATTCAGCTTTATTATTATTATTACTAATCTATTGTCTGTTATACAATTTCCACTGACAGTAAATACTTAATGCTGCAATATTTTTGATCACCAGTAGTGGAGATGAATTTCTCATGAGATTTCCATTTACGTAAAGCAGTACAGATGCGGTATCACGAATTAATGTCTAGGTTGCATTATATGTCATTGTTATACTCATCAACACAACAGGTCTGCGTATCTTACAATATTTTAAGTGTTTCTCTATGTTGTTAACACTGCATAGTTGCTTAGAGTTGAGGTATGTTCAGCTTATATTTGATGACTACAGTTTCCTAAATATGAGAATGTAATTTCTGTAGGCTTCAGAAAACTATGCTCACTGGACATTACTGAGATTGTGGATCAATTTCTAAGCTACATATTTGCAATACCTCATTTAACGTAGACGTATTTAATGTGAAATTGACGAGAGAATGACGTCTCAACAGTATGGGTGTTTCAGAGTTTATCTTGAAATTTGCGTGTAATCCTCTAATGCTGGACAACTTATCAGGCCTATTTATGCATACGGCGTCAATATAAAGACCAGCTGTGGACTAAAAATACTTTTGATTGTATGGGAAGTTTACTTAGCATTAATAGAATCAGTGTATACTAATATATAAAATTATCTTTCGTAACTTCATGTTGTGATTCATATTTTAGGTATATGGAGGTTGTGGAATATGAAATCAGTGGAAATGTCAATCTGTCAAACTAACGCTAATACCCTTCATCAGATTTTTCATTTGTAAATTAATGAAATGCCTAATATACTCTTCTTTTCTACTCCTTCTGAACTTCTTCAATGCGTCGCTATACTATGAGCTTTCGTAATGTGTGGATTCTGATTAATGCATGTTAAGCTTAGTGGAATAGAGATTTACTACAGTATTATGAGACTGTTACTTTAATCATTCATAGGATTTCGCGTCTGTTTCTATAAAATAGCACATTGTGAAAATTAAGTAGGATTTGGCGAGTTGAATTATAATTTCGTATGTGGCACAAGTAAATGCAGTAAATTAGAGTTGATAGCTACATCATTAATCAGTTAATATGCAGTGGCATCATCAAATAGACTATCTACTTGGCGACGTGCTAAGAAAAATTTTTTATTTATCTCTGATATGCTGTTGAATCATGTGATGTTATCTAGTATCCATCATTTCTATGATCAACAACTGCAGTGTTTGAATATCTACTTTGTTAAGTATGCCGATGATCTAACTGTTTCAATGTCTGTCAACTCCCAACCAGACAGTACAGCTTTCTATCAGGAATTAGCCAATGGTCTTCGTCTAACGGCCTTAAACTAAATCCTTCCAAATGTCAGGCAATTCATTTCAGTTTTAGATGTAAAAGAAAGTTAAATGAAGCTGTTAATTCCCATTACCGTCGTACAACTGATGATAGCGATATCGAAATCAAGTTTGACGTTAAGTATCTTGGATTAATTCTTTCTTCTGGCCTATCCTGGTCTTCCCATGTCTTAGCGATTTCTAAGACAATATTTCCTCTGACTGTTCACATTAAGAAGTTAAGGCACTCAAGCATAACTTATCCCCTCCTCTTACAGTTTGTCAGTTCGTGCATCTTACCTATACTTGACCTGTTCTTCTTGCTTTAATCATCATAGTACCGTGTTTCGCAGAACTCATCACACAGCGTACCAGCCTTAAATGTATACCACATTCAGGTATAATGCTTATGAGGTAGATATGCAAATCAAAGTAAACGTTTGTACGGTGCATTCATTATTTATAAGACTAACTAGTATGTAAGAGCTACGATTTGACCAGTTATACAACGTTTAATATATTGCTTCAGTCAGGTTTAATATATTTAGACACAATTAACCTACGCTGCTTACTTCTATGACGTATTACTTAAAGCTACGTAGTTACCTCAAAGTGGTTTCCGCTGAAGGTAATCTCCCATAGCTAATACCTTAGTGAGCAACTTAACGTTATCTTTGAATTTCAAAGTAAAAGCGGATATCCTGAGAATCTTCTTGATAAAAAGATCGTCTCCCACTCGAAAAAAGTAAATATACCCTAATCTCAACGAAATCGTTCAGAGGTGTTCATCCTATCACTTCAAATGACTCACTATTTGCAGTCACTTAAGAAGGAAGAATAAATTTACCGAAGATAGTGTGCTTATGACTTCTAGATATCCTAATGTACCATGAGGGAAAACCTATATCCATAGGGTTCTAACAGTTAGAAGCGTGATATTAATCCGAAACACGACGACTACGGTTCTCAATCACGGAACATCCCACTTTGCTACCTAATCTTCTAATCGTATTAACAGATGTTTCGCCAAGGAAAAGAAAACCAATGGTTTTAGGAAAATTTATTTAGTTTTCTTAAAGATCATGGGCATCCGTATTTATAACCACGGAGAAACCACAAACATTCAAAAAGTAGGAATTTCATTATTTGAAATGAAACAAGGAATCTGTATTCAGCCAATATTTTCAACCCGAATAATAAGCAGCTTCTCGGCTTGTTGTAACCACCGATTGTAGACCACAACCCGAAACGTTATTCTTGCTAATTCAAGTCTTACCTTTAACTGGGATAGTTCTTACACTCACCAGATCACCATGTTATCCGCTTTCTAAGTCGTTTTGCAACACACTGAATGACTGTTAACACTGGCTTTGCTACAGGCGGTCCTAGTTCATGTATTCGGATCTAGTACATTGGGCATTATTAAACATAGGTAACACTTACCATTTAGGGGTTTCTGATTGCTATCAAGTTTTTTTCAGTTCCAAAACTACGTACAGGCGCAACAGACTCATTCTTCTCATGTGGCTCAACCTTGTTTGATTTAGATTCTCTGACAATATATCTGACTCTCTAACTGATAATATACACTGATGGTATGGTCAGCTTCTCGAAATGCTTTAAAGCTTTTTCAACTTCAAACCACGTTCTGAAATATTCGGGTTTAACATGCTCTTGAACACCCTGATCGTATTGTCCTCACCAGATTGACTCGTAGATAGCTGCATGTTGTGAACATGAATGTGAAAGACATTGTTTTTTCCAGATTTCTCCCCTGTAAGTAACCAATATAGCCAGAAACAATAACGGCAACCAGCAAATAAACTAAAAACAGCAGCTTTTGTCAGCTAAACATGTTCACGTGCATATTCTCCAAAACTTCCACACAGCACTATTTCACTGAAAGCTGAAAAACGACTAAAACACTAAAACCACACATGAATGCAAGGTATGAAACAACTATAATGGAATGTATGCACTGATCTGGTAGTAAAACTTTCAAAACCAACGAAATAACTCATTTTAACAGCAACGGAAACAAAAATGAGTTGAAAAGCAGCATTTGTGAACAATATGCATCAAGATAAGTTGTGAATAACTGCAGGATAAACGTAAAACCCAACGTGTAAACGAACGGCTACGGAACTGCAATCTAACATGGCCGACTAACATGGACGAAAATGCCCCTTGAGCGTCTTACACCATCAACGACCCTGAGCATGCGGGATAATTTCAGCCGATAATTTCAGTCGATTCAACACAATGTTTAAGATTTCAAATAATGACTACGGACCTGACCTATTCTCTCTTTCCCTTCCCACCAGGTCGGAACACCTTAGAGGACATAGCAGGAGAGTTCAAAAGCAAAGAAGAAATCATATTGCTGTTGAGTACTGGTTCTGACACCGAGTCATAAACTCTTGGAACCGACTCCGAGAAGAAGTGGTGTCTGCAACCTCAGTTGATTCGTTCAAGAAGGGTTTGGACAACCACAGAAATTTACTAGAAAAGGATTAACATAGGCTCCAAGCCTTCTTTCCTCAACCAATAAATCTGAATCGGAAATCTTTAAGTGAATTTATGTAAAACTCATGCAGAAATTTTGCTAGTTTAATATTGTGAATAGGTGCCTCATTGATAGGCCTCATTTTCCAGTAAAAATGGATGTGCGAAACTTTAAAACTGGAGGGGATATGCAAATACTACAAGCACTGCTCAGATGTGCTCAACAGCATTCTAAGATTTTGAAAACATGGAAATCAAATTGAAATAAATGACATCCCTTATCTGAACTTTCGAGGGAGACAGAGAATACCAAACTCAATTATATAGAGGGCTAAGAGGAGTTTAACTACTGTACATTTGTTATTGAAATACATATCTGTTCCTCAAATGATTTGTTTTAAAAGTGTCAATCATGACCTAGCTACTTGATCAAATTAAATCTACTGGCGGGTTAGTTCGGTATTTTTCGCGATGTTTATGGTAGCTAGTATTCTTTATAATTCAGAAGTTTTGGAACATAAAACCTCACCTGATATTAACTCATTCCCCTGCTCACTGGGTACCTTCTAAATAGCGTCGGTTCACTGGGATTAACAAATCTAGATTTAATCTCTCTCTCTGTACATATATGTACATATATATTCATAGTATACCAGCCGCATATACTGGTATATTTGCGAATTAACCATATTCTTACTTAACCATATTGAATTCCTTAACGACACTAATATGGACAGCCTTATTCACTGCTATCTATTTCATCAGTTAAGCATAACCGATAATCCAATGTCTAGACAAGTGTAGGGAGCCAGATAACTCCATTATGGATAAGATATTATTTTGATAAATCACAGTGTTGTACAGTAATATTAACTGATATTACTGTACAACACTGTGATTTATCAATATAAAATCTTATTCATAGTGGAGTTATGCTCTACCACAGTGGCCAAGTTTTATACAGATTCAGATTATAAGGATAGAAGGCTCTTGTTGCCTATGTTAATCCTCGCGATATATATCTCTGCAGAGATCCAGTTTCTCTTTGAAAGCGTTCACCGATGGAGCTGTTACTACTGAATCAGGTAAGGAGTTCCAGTCGTTGACCACTCTGTGAGAGAATCTAAACTCCAAACGTATTTTATTCGACCTTGGTTTGAGCACCTTCTTCTGGTGACCCCGTAAATGTATTCTAGAGGGAGAGAAAAGGTTTGAAAGGTCAATCCCTAAATCACCCTTGAATATACGGTAAGCCAAAATTAAGTCGCCTCTCCTCCTTCGATATGATAATGGGAAGAGATTTAAATGCTCCATCCTCTTATCATAAGGAAGGTGTGAGATGCCATTAACTAATTTTGTTCCTACCCTCTGTACTCTTTCCAGGGTATGTGCCTCCTTTTTGAAGCATGGACTCGCCGCTTGTATGCAGTACTCTAGATGAGGCCTGACATATGTTGCATAGAGTACTTGGAACATACCCTCGTCTAATCGTTTGAAAGATCTTCGAAGTGCCCATAGCATTCGAAAAGCCTTAGCTGCGGCTCGATTACAGTTCGCCGTTGTTTTTAAGTCATGGCTAACAATAATTCCCAAGTCCTTTTGTTCCCTAACATCTGGCAGTTCTGTGTCCCCCATGGAGTACGACGTGTAAGACTTCTGACCTAGGTGCATTACTGCGCTTTTCTTGGAATTAATTTCCAGACTCCAAAGGTTAGCCCATTCGGTTAATTTGTCTAGATCGTTTTGTAGTACCAACCTATCATCGCTACTATTTACGGTTTTCCATATCTTAATATCGTCCGCAAATAGTAAGGAAGATGAGGTAAGAATTTTCGGCACTTCATTTACGTATAATAAGAATAGCAGGGGGCCCAGTACCGTTCCCTGAGGTACTCCACTTAGTACTGCTTTCCACCCTGACAGTACACCATTAACCCTTACCTTCTGTCTCCTATCCATCAGGTAGTCACTAAACCACTCGCATAAGCGTTGGTCTAATCCAAAATGTTTAAGTTTACTAAGAAGACCTAAGTGGGATACCTTATCGAATGCTTTACTAAGATCGATAAATACAACGTCCAGTAGATGGTTTTTATCCCTGGCCTCGACCCAATCTTCCCTAGCTAACAGTAAGTTTGTCAAGCAGGATCGTCCTGGTCGGAATCCATGCTGTTCCACTGCCAGTAAGCCATGTTTTTCCGTATGAGCTAAGAGCTGGTCCCTTATGAGTTTTTCTAACACCTTTGCTATAATGCAGGTCAGACTTACAGGCCGGTAGTTAGATACTAACTGTCTATTCCCATCTTTGAAGATGGGGCTTATAAAAGCATCTTTCCAGTCTCTGGGTAACCTAGCCTGGGTCAGAGACATCTGAAAAATCTCCGTAAGTGGAATGTATATTATATCCGCCAGGGAGCTTAGCAATCTAGGGTGAAGTCCGTCTGGTCCAGGTGATTTACCTGGCTTCAACTTAGACAGTAGTTTCAGAACCATTACATCATCTACCACAATTGGGGGCATTTTAGGGGCTACACCAGTTACCTCGCTACACCCCTGGGTGGTACGATTAGACGAAAAAACATCACAGAAATATTCGGAGAGCACCTCAGCTTTTGTTTCGTCTGATTCTGCAGCCTCTCCTGTGTTGCTAATGAGGGACGGTATGCCACTACTAGTTTTAGTCCTACGTTTGATATACGAGAACAGTCTTTTTGGATAATGCACACAATCCAGTACTAACTGTCTCTCATACTCTATACGACTTTTGTCAATCTCAAACTTGCAAAGGTTTCGAACTTTGCGGTATTCTACCCGAAACTCATCCCTTCCAGTCACAGCAAACCGGTCCCATAAGTTCTTTCGTTTTCTTAGTAACCTCCTTATTTCATTACTAATCCAAGGTGGTTTATGAGATAATTTTCGAGGCGTAGACCAAGGTACAAAGGGTGCAGTGACGCACTCTAGTGTATTCCTAAATCCCATCCAAGCCTCCTCGACAGTCTGGTGTGTGTTAACAGACCAGTTAGCTAGGGTTGCTGCATTTCGGATTGCAGGTATATTCGCTTTCCAAACGTTTGGGCGAGCGGCTGTTGACCTATGTATGACGGCCTGGATCCTGAACATAAAAGTAATAACTATGTGGTCACTACTGCCTAGCGGCGCCAGGCACCTAATGTTACCAACATCCTCCTTCTGGTGTGTTAGCACCAAGTCTAGAGTGGATGGATCATGTTCAGGATGGTATCTTGTTGGTGCATCCATATGCTGCACAAGTGCGCATTCAAGTACTGCCAGTATTAGTTCCCTATTGAAACAATTGTACGAAGTAGTTGATGTTAATTCCTCCCAATTAATATGCGGGGCATTAAAATCACCTACTATTAGACACCTATTCTTTCTACTCCACGTCCTGAGGTGATTTATAACGAAATTGTCAGCTTGGCTGGTAGGACTTCTATAAATAACCCCTATCGTTACAGTGCCTTTGTTCAAGTTAATGACACAACCTGCGGCTTCACAGGTGCCACTGTCATGAGCTTCCGACAACGTCGACCTAATTCCTATGTCATCTCGAATGTATAGAGCGACCCCCCCCACCTTTCCGGCTACTTACTCTGTCTGCTCTAATGCAGATGTACCCAGGTATGAGTGGAGTTAAGTCTATACCCATTAACAACCATGTTTCGGTGATAGCAATCACATCCGGCTGTAGTTCCTCAGTCAACACTCCTAGTTCAGGAAGCTTATTCCTAAGACTACAAGCGTTCGTGTAGCATACTGAGAGACCTATGTGTTCACTCGACTTATGAACAGAGGTCTGGGTAACATAGGTTTCCGAGACCTCACTACCCGAAAACCCAATAGTTTGATGTCTTTTTCACCTTTTTCTAATCGGGCCTTTAGTTCAGCCACAGCTTCTCTTCTCCTAATTCTATCTTCCAAAGGCCAGTCTGGCCTAATTCTCATTTTTTTATTCTTCATCTTGAATGCGTTGTTGAGAATAATAGTTTTCTCCATCTCGTTCCCCAGTACCACCTTCAGCAGTCGTGGGGAACTTTCCGTTGCATCGGCGATTCGTTTACCGATTCTGATGACTTTCCTTATGTGAACACCATTCGTTTTTTCCGGAAGTATTTCACGGATGATGGAGCTAACTATTTCGAGATCGTCAGCATGTCGAGCAGCTGGATCTACCTTCTTCGATTCCTCCAAATTCCAAATTACTATACTGTAATTTGAATCCGAAGGTTTAATCTTGTCAGTGTTTACGGCCGTTGAGACCTTATCACTAACCACAGTACTTTTCTCTTTCCTGTGATTCTTGAGCTTCCTACTCTTCGGCACTAGCCAGGTGGAATCAGATGGTTCCACTTTACTCTCGCCGCAGTTGGAAGCTGTGCGTTCACCAGACACGCAACGCTTCATCGCTGTGGTATCACCCTGCTGTCTTACAATGTTGGCACTGTTTGCCCTCCTAGGTTTTCGGGGCTTTTTACGTGCTATTGTTGACTGCTGGGCACACTTCACCTCTGTTGCTTCTTTCGAAGCTAGGGGATGTGGTTCTGCCTTAGTTTTATGACTAAGGTCAGAATCCTCGTTTATAACATCTGTACTAGATGTTGCATTTTTCCCCTCATCAGAGGTTTTTGGTAACTTCTTCGACATGAGAAGTCCTACGGCCTCTTGGATGAGGACATCCAACGGGTTTGCACAAAATTTGCACATCCATGGAGATGACGGCTTGCTGCTTCTCCTATAGGCTGATGGTGATAAGCCAGTGCAAACTTTATGGAACCATAGGTTGCAGTTATCACACTGCATCCCATCCTCCACCGGAAAGTGGCAGTCCGGTCGTCCACAACTATTTGTGGGATTCATGCTAGTATAAGCTGCTTAAGTTACACACAAATTATATATATATATATACCTAAATACAGAGATATAAAAACACAAAAAGTCACAAAAGTGCACAAAAATAGACACTACTTTAACTAATTAAACCAGTTAAAGTAAACCAAAAAGCTTCTGATGCGATTTACACAACAAAAGCAGAAGTTACTTCACAACGTAAAAAATGCCACTCTCTTTTCGAAGCGCGCGCGATGTTATCCTTATAGGAAGCCAGATGATGAGCACACTACGTCAACTAGGATTGAATTTGGATCCATTACAAAAACTTTGGGGGCAAGAGTAAGCAGCAGACACCAAAGTCAGGTGACCTTGATTCGACCAACCAGGTGTCTCAGAACTACAAATGGGTGCTAGTTATAATCCTCGTTGCAAGTGTTTCCTAGATTTGGTTTTTGAATTCTCTGTAAAAAATCGGTTGATAGGTAGAGTAACTAAACTATAGTAGCCCAAAACGAAGCTACCTATCGCGACCGATCAGATTCTTGAGAAGTAGAAATGTGTTTGAAATAAATGTCTATATACAACAATGCAGTGTTAAAAATGGTTACATAGGATAGTATTCTTGTATATGTTCCAAAATAAACCTCCGAATTTCTCACAGGAGTCCTCATATTCAGGTTAAGCTGATCTCTGTACATGAATTCGTCTAAGTCACCAATCCGTTCATCGGGTAGTTTCTATCTAGGCTGCTATAGTTTAGAGTCACCGTAAGTCGTACGTAATGGGGATGTTTCTAGACACTTCCTTCTCAAAATCAAAACTCTCTCTTAGTATGTGCGTATGTGCGACCAGTATCTGCTACAACTGCAGAAATAGAGAATGAATTGGTTTGATATGCCTATAACCACTTCTATGAAAAACTGGGGTCATCTTTTGCAGCATATTAGAGATATATGCCCTCTATGATTCGTTTTCACTACATATATATCATAGGTACACTTTTTTATAAATTAAGTACCACTTTTCACCTAGAAGAATCTAATTGGCCGTCTGAAGTTGGTGTCTATTCTTTACTGTTGACCGCTGCAGACAACCGTCCCTCTTTCTTCAATGCGCCCTAAGTCTTTTGCCCTAGAGGTCTACAGTGGACCCAAAGAAATTCAACGCAATCGCTTATGTATACGCGTAAGACATTCTTAATAAATAATGCTATTGGTTTCGGGATTATTTCAAAGATCCTTCAGTCGGATTGTCGGTGCCTGCTATGGTTTAGCTTCTCAGACTAAGAAGTTTGACAATTTCATCATGTAGTCGTACTTGTTTTCAAAATACATTTGATCTAGTCTATGCAACATAGTGCAGAATCTTTATATTCGCATAGAAAGACTTTCGAGGGGTGTGGGGGAGAATATAACTGAAAAATTCTTTGTTTGCATTGTCTTCCCTGTTCACTCTGTTTCACCACGTATTTCTTAACAGAGGATTTATTTCCCTGATTAACAATTTTGGGGCAATGGAATTTTTAGGGGATCGCCAACATTTGGACTGACCTCCCTTTATTTACTACCTTGAATTGCTCCGATATTACCCTTAGGATTTTTACTTGGATTGTGTAAAGCTTATGTGTCTTTGCAGTTAACTAGTGTTTAAATCCATGTACATCCGTTATGGTCAAACGGTCTACTTAAACTATTAGTACTTGTGGCTAGGAGCATTTGATGAAATATCTGCGGGAAGTATTTTGTGAACAACTGTTAACGAAGTGTATAATGGAAAATGATTTCGCTCGACATGAATACACTGTATATATATATATATATATATATATATATATATATATTATTATTATTACAGATCGTACTCGGGTATTGGTTGCATTCTCATCGTCTTGGAATTCTTAATTGTACCGATTGTAGTTGATAATTCAACACAATGATCAGCTTTTTTGATTATGGAATACAGGGAAGATCGTGGTCACTGACTAATAATGTGTCGTTCCTATAGTTATGAAGTGATTTCGTCCGTCTTGTGTACAATGACGGTCATTTCCTACTAATAAAGGTAGCTTCAATATGTACTCTATTTGCAATGGACAACTGATCTGACAATCGGTGTCTACAGTATATTATGCCTGTCAGATGTAGAAAGTATAGCATGTAAGTAGCACAAGTGATAGTAGATTGACGGGTCTGATTGTTTATATTCTACTGAATAAACGACACTGCATGTAATTGTATTATGGACTGATTAGTGTGACGATCAACAACCTTCAAGTAGAAGGAATGCTTCGAAAAAACTTTTTTTTATTACTCTCCACACTAGGAAATTGAAAATATTCGTCGTAATAACATAAATGCCTTGATAGAAATTTTCAGTCTGAATTTTTTCATCACTATATTTTTTCTTAAATAGAACTTATGAAGTGCATCTTCAAGTGTTGTTAAATGGGACTACCATGACTCACAATGACCATTCTGTTTTCTTTGTTATTTGCTTTAGGTCCGAATATGTCAATAGACCTTCCTGAGGCTAAGGCGGATACTTTACAGGAAGTCTTCTCGGACAAGTTCCAATATATTAACTTGGATCATTATAACATTTACCACTTTGAAGAGCTCCCAATTGATGGTCGACGTTATCAGTACCGATTGTCTTCTAAGGGCGACTTGATGACTGTAGTAACTCATATAGCAGGGAGAGCAGTTCTGTTGGTGTCTGTCTGGACAAATATGGATTATGAGAAACGTCTACGTGAAATACATCAGCATATTTTAGAAATGGAGCGTACAAGTTCTATTCCTACGGATTTTCGAGGTGTGTTTTTTGTCTTAAATTTATACAAATCTTTGGGGTCGAAATGCTTTTATCTTCAAGATATTTTTCACTTTCATGATTTAATATGTTTACTTGAAGCACACGAATTAGTCCATTTATTTTTTCCAGTAAATATTACTGTTTCATTATGATACACCTAATTGTAGGCATGAGGTTTTACTATTTGTTGGGAGATGGATATTTGATTTCTTGGTTTATCGAATTGTAAATTATTTTTCTTAGGACTGTGTTTGCTCTTTTTCTAACATGCTTATCTGTCTTGACATCTAGGTGGTTGTCGTATTTTAGAAGCTGCTCTAGAGAATTTCAAAACACTAATTCTTAAAATGTTGAAACAATCAGGCAATATCTATCATCCTAAACAGATCAAAATGGATACTAAGAAACTTCAAGAATTTGAAAACATGCTCTTAGTTTCACCACCGTCAGTTTGCTTCCAGTTTAAATATTATGTGGCTGGTAGGTATATTGTGCGTCTGTGGCACAGCGGTAGAATGCTCGCCAACCACGCCTCATATGGTTCGGGGTTCGATCCCCGGCTACGGACACACTCACTTACCTCTCTAAACCAGTAATAAGACTGTTAAAGAGGGAACGTTGGGCATGAGGCTAGTAATGCCATCTCGTGAAAATAAACACTGCTACTAAAACTTAAAACCTCTAGCTTGAAGCCCCATATGCTCCACTGGGAACGTAAAGGAATTAAAAAAAGAAGAGGTAGGTGTATTTGTATACGCCAAATGTTTCCCAGTTAGCTTGTCCCTTTCTGGTTCTACATCTCACTACCCTTTTTGTCACTGTGCATTTGACATCAACACTTTTCATTATGAAAATTCATATACAATTATGTATTATGAAAGACTACAACCTCATTGTTTCTCCCTCCTTCAAAGCGACTATACCTACACAGTCTACTTAAATGTGGTCTGGTGGAGATGGGGTTCAGTCGTGGCTTGAGCGCTCGACTTTCAATCCATGGTTCATGCTTCACCCCTACTTCAGCCTGAACAACTGGATAGTATTATTAGGCCCGACACAATAAATGTGGCTCATAGGCCCCAGTATTGTCCAAATGAGTAATGACTCACTAATTAAACGTCTGACTTGCGTATCTCAGTGAACTGTAGAGTCTAAAACAATTATTACTGAAGATTCTAAAACACTTGAATATTGCGGCAGAGCACAATTCCCTTACAGTGCTTAAGTTCTGTTCTTACGTGTATAATACAAGGACTCTATGCTATAATTAAAAAAAAATTTAAAAAATAAACGGAATGAAGTTGATAAACTCAAATAAAAACTCAAATGTATGATCAGTGACAAAGATTATGATATCTTAGATGCAATATCCAAAAAAACAACAACAAGAGACGTGGCAGCCCTTAAGAAAATTATGAAACACGCAAATTAAGTAATTCAACTAATTAATTGAAGAAGAAAACAACACACAGAAAAAATGAGACAGTTGACAACAACATTTTATCAACTGTTGATTGATAAGACAAAGTGGGTGAACAACCCACATCATCAAGAGGACTGAGCTGTAGTGAGATAAAAGTGCTTGAGAAAGTATTAAACTCCCATCCATGAGACAGTTAGTAAGCTGAAACCAGAGGATGTCATTCCTAACGTAGAGGTAATTTTAAATTCAAAAGGTGAGACAGCAGCAGAAAAGGATGTTCATTAGCACTAAAACAGCAAAAGAGAAAGCACACAGCTAAACTTAACAAAATCGGAAAGACTAGGTCTAGTAAATCTTAAACATGGTCATTGCAAAGGCTGATAAAGGCAATTCAACAGTAATTATGCATAAATCTGACCATATCAAGAAAGTTATTGAACACATCTGTAGACGCAGTAGTGAATAAGACCAAAAAAAATTATAGCAGATTTAGTGCTCAGAAAAATGTGTAAAACTAATAATGCCAATAGAATACATGGTACTATTGAAATATACAGACCAAGCTATTGTATAAAATTAATAGTTAATTTCAAAAATACACCCATTTACGAATTATCTAAACACTTAGCTTTAATATTGTGTCCTATCAGAAATTGTTCAAATTCTGTCTGTCTATGTGGTTTAAACATAGAACTTTGTACCAGTGGGCAGCAGTTCGAGTCGCCACACTTCACTCAGCACACAAAGCCAAAGACGAAAGTAAAAAGAAATGCAAAATATAGACAGTAAACAGAGATATGAGGCAAACACAATAGTAATATCGAAGAACAATATAGTTTCATCGGAAATTACAAGTCACAAGGAGTGGATGCATCTGCGCCAGTCATTGAGGACGATTTTGAGCCACATCACCAATTGTCTCCAGATTCCATTTGGGTTTACCTCCCCGAGGACTCCAATCAGTCTACATCTTCCTCCGTGGCTGGCTTAAACTAACTGTTGTGGATTTCACTGACTAATGAGGCCATGTTTTTGTTTGACCACACTGGCTCTTTTCCAGCTTGATCCTATGTCAGCTAACATTGCTTGTCGAGGAAGGCGATGGCTAGACATGCATGCGTAACACATGTTTTAACCATCTCAGTCGATGTAGGTTCACAGCCTCGTCTATTGATTTCCCCTCCCTCCTTACCTAGTACTTGACCGAAGCCTAACCTCAATATTGCGCACCCTAGTATACCACTGGAAAAGAGCCAGTGGTGGTGAAACGAAAAGATGGCCTCATTAGTCAGTGAAATCCACAAGTTAGTTTAAGCCAGCCACGTAGGAAGATGTAGACTTCCTGACTGATTGGAGTCCTCGGGACGGTAAACCCAAATGGAGTCTGGAGACAATTGGTGATGTGGCTCAAAATCGTTCTCAATGGCTGGGCGCAGATGCATCCACTCCTTGTGACTTGTAATTTCCGATGGAACTATATTGTTCTTCGATATTACTATTGTGTTTGCCTCATATCTCTGTTTACTGTCTATGTTTTGCATTTGTTTTTACTTTCGTCTTTGACTTTGTGTGCTGAGTGAAGTGTGGCGACTCGAACTGCTGCCCGCTGGTGCAAAGTTTTGTGTCGAAAACAGACAGACAGACAATATCTCAGTTAGTGCAACATGCTTTTTTGGCAGTACTGCCGTTTCTACTTCCTTCATTTTGACTACCCACCAGTAATTGTGGTCATCACGAAGGCTTCTAAATAATTTGCTTCTAGGCAGTCAGTCGGTCAGTTTCTAGGCAGCTTTCATTTTCTATTTCTAGTCTTCTAGAGTTAAGCAGTTAAGTAGAACAACAAAGACCTACTGATCACTACTAACCTTTGAATACACTACAACCTTTGAATACGGCAGACTAAATATGGCTCCTTAGATTCTGAAACAATTCAGTATTCTTTATCTAATTCCAGTCTCTTCCGTCCATTATACTCTCACTATATTTGTTTCCCTACTTCGTGTACTTTTCCAAAGTGTAGCAACTCTGATTGATGGACTCTTATGCAAAGTTACCGTCTTATACGTCACTTTGTAGAGGTTTTCAGTTAGTACTGGATAAGGACAAGTGAAAATCTGAACAAAATTGTGAGAGACGACTATCACTGTCGATTTGTGAATATGGGACTTTGTAAATAAATTTAGAATGCTTTGCCGACTAACACCTTCCCTACTTAAGAGTTACTGTCGCCTTTTAATGAAACTAAAACTGAGCATTTTACTTTCTGTAGCCGAACTCGACAGTTTCCGATGGAATTTAGCACTTATTTCTGAACTATACAACCACAGGGTGCGTGATTGGAAACTGCGAAAATGCATTCACCTGAATCACAACCTTTTTTGTTATTACCAGCCTGTATGACTGGGCAGCACAAAAACCCATTTGTTGAAATTTATGACCTAGACCCTTAGTTCATGGTCACACAGTCGTCTCCCTAAAACTCTTTGCCTCGTCTTTTCCAGAAAAACTGCTTTACTTTCGGGATTTCAGTGTTTATGCTCCTCATGGAATGTGGATGTTAGTTTAATATAATCTTTGATGCATAGGCCTAAAGGCAAATTTTTAACTAGATGATTATCTAACGGTGGTATATTATATGGTAATTTGCAAGTATTATTTAACTGGCCCCTTTTTTATTTTATAGCTCAGTTTGAAGTCGAAGAAGAAGCCTATACGTATGTTCTTTGATCTCACTTTATATAGACATTGAAATGTGGTTAACTGCTGCCCTAAAAGACAAGTGTGTAACCGATGAATTTCGGCATCAAAGTCCTCTCTACTTATCCTAGTCTAGTCACATGAACAGCACATACATCGAATGTGCTCCATATCCAACTACGCAGACGTTTACTGGGTCGTTGAGTTGCATTTCCATTAAGGGACCAGAAAGCCTTCTTAGGGGTGGTCACAAATAAGCCAAAAAATGTCAATGTATTTTTTTATAAAATTTTAAAAAATTTACATTGACATAAGTAAAAATTACATTTGTAAAGTCTCATCGAAATTGTAATAAATAATTCCAACGTTTCGTTCAACAAACTGCTCTAAACTGCTTCAGGGAAATTCGTCAAAGTAACAAAGGTTTATACATATATATAAGGACAGATCTTGTCTCTAAAATCCTTGTCTAATTATGTGAGAGTCATGGTTAGTCATGAACGAAATTGCATGAACTGTGATTGAAATTCGACCACAGGTTTACTGTTATTACAGGATTAATCATGAGCTGACATTAGGTGGAGAATTATTGGAAAACTTTGGACAGCTGTTTCGTCCTAGTTCGGAACTCCTCAGCAACACGTTTCCACCGGGGTTTGAGCCCAAAACCTTCTGGTTGTGAGGCGAGCTCATAAACTTTTCAGCCACCAGGACTCGAATCAACAGTCCATGAATTCCAACTTCTGCCAATTCGTGATATATATATATATATATATATGCGATTTACAATGGTGTGTGTGCGCATAAGGGGACAGTTGTAAATCAATTGTTAACCTTTCCATAAGAAGATATAAACAATCGGGAAATTAGATCAGTTATG